CCCCAATTCTAAATGAAACTTTGAGGACCTCTACTTAGTTATTAGGGAGTTACTTTCTGGTCAGTCCTCCTGATTTGGCCTCTTTTAGATTTAATCAGCATTAAGGTATTGCCTGTAACATGTACTTTATATATAATATTTACCTTTCAAAGCAGATTGAGGTGTGTGTGTGTGTGTGTGAGAGAGCAAATCGGTGGGGTTTGTGCTTGCCTACAGACAATCTCAATCTATAGTTTGAAATATGTTCGTTTTAAATAGTCCTGGATGTTAAGTGAAACTTCTGCTGGGTTCGAATTTCCCGCCCTCATGAACAGACAAGTACCTAACATGAGGAATGACACCAGACCCACACCCATGAGGGCCACACAAGATGCCACCACCACACTTCCACGCAGAAAGCCGACTCACACCCACACAGAAGATGAGACACGACCACGGACCAGAAGCTGCACCGCAGCTGCATCACTACCCGCTTCAAACCCCTCCGACCCATACATGAAGCGAACTGACGCCCACCATGAAGATGTGGCATGACCACGAAAGTGAAGCCAAACAGCAGGATCACAGCTCACCAGCTCAAATCCCCCAGCAACTAAGACTAACCTGAGCACAACCAAGCCCCCACCTAAACAGAACATATACCCAGCCAATCAGAACAGAGCCAACCCCCCAACCAATCAGAACACAGCCAAACCCCCAACCAATGAGAACACACCCCCACCCAATCAGAACACAGCCAACCCCCCCAACCAATCAAGTCACACCCCCACTAGCAGTTAAAAGGAAGAAGCAGCTGCAAGCTCACATTACTCTGAGACGCACAGAGCCAAAGACACAAGCCTGAAGATGATGAATGAGACTTCATCGAAACGTCGCCTAGATTCTTCCAATTTTACGCAGGAGAAAACCTGAATAACCAAAGATTATATATATGTATGTATGTATGTATATATGTATGTATGTATGTATGTGTATCTATATCGATATCGATATCTATATATCTATATCTATCTATCTATCTATCTATCTATCTATCTATCTATCTCTTTGGTTATTCGGGTTTTCTCCCGCGTAAGATTGGCAGTATCTAGAAGGGATTATATGGGAATATAAAGTTTTTATAATGAGAGTATTTTTGATGATTAAAAGTAGGGGAATGAAAATTTATTCAACTACATAGACAAACTTTGGCTAACAGGAAATGAAGAAAAAACATGATTAGGGATTGTATTGGAACATAAAGTATTTATAATGGGACTATTTTATTATGATTAAAAGTAGGGGAATTAAAAAATATTAAATGACATAGGTAGATTTTGGTTAAGTGGAAATAAGGAAAGGGAAAAGGAAGAAAAATATGGAATGGTTATAGGAAGATCTTTGGAATAAATATAAGACATAATGTAGATCAGGGGGATATACCATGTGGATCCTAAATATATTAGCTTCATTTTACTTTTACTCTTTTTTGATTGTTTATTATATATCGGTCTAGAGAAAGCTAAGGATGATGATGATATATAAAGTAAAATAAAATATGAGTAAGCTGAAAATGGAAATAATAGGGGATAAAGAATTGGAAATATATGTGTGAATGAAATGATATTGTTATTGAACTAATTAATTGAAATATGAAATGGAAATTTATCTAAAGATTAGTGGATGACTTGAGGTGATGTTAAACAAGATAAATGGAAATGTAATTATGACTATGTATAAATGTTGTAATCTGGAACCACATTGCTCATGTGAAGAGATGTATAAAAAATAAAAATAAAAGTAAACTTTATTTAAAAAAAAGAAACATGGCATGATGAGCAGATGGCTTTATCCTTGTCTCATACTGTGGTCTATTGTGTTATGGATGAGGGATCCTTTATTTCAATCAATTAGAATGGAGTTGGAAGAGAGCTTGGAGGTCTTCTAGTCAGTGGTAGGATTCAAATTTTTTTTTACTACCGGTTCTGTGGGTGTGGCTTGGTAGGCATGGCAGGGGAAGGATACTGTAAAATCTCCAGTCAGAAGTGGTATTTGCTGGTTTTCTGAAGTACTCAAAATTTCTACTACTGGTTCTCCAGAACCGGTCAGAACCTGCTGAATACCACCTCTGCTTCTAGTCCAATCTTAAGCAAGAAACCCTAGACAATTTCAGACAGGTAGTTGTCCAGTCTTTTCTTAAAAACGTTCTGTGATGTAGCACCTACAACTTCTGAAAGCAAGATGTTCCACTAGTTAATTGTCCTCACTGTTAGGAAGTTTTTCCATAATTCCAAGTTGCTTCTCTCCTTGATTAGTTTCCATCCATCATTTCTTGTCTTGCCATCTGATTTGGAAAATAAGTTGACCCCCTCTTCTTTGTGGCAGTCCCTCAAGTGCTGCTATTATGTCACCCCTAGTCCTTCTTTTCTCTAATCTAGACTAACCATACCCAGTTCCTGTAACCTTTCTTCAGACATTTTAGTCTCAAGGGCTTTAATCATCTTAGTTGCTCTGCTCTGCACATTTTTCAAAGTCTCAACATCTTTTTTGTAATGTGATTTTAACTTATTTGATTTCAATCTGCAGTTCCTCCGGTTCTTCTGGTTCAGGGTTTCAAAGGGATTCCTGTATAATATGTGTATATATATGCAAGGTCACATTTACAAACCAGTTGGTTTTGTTCTTTAGCTTACATTGGAACCTGCGCAAGAACAGTATGGTTTGTTGCAGTCAGCCCTGGGCCCAATCTTCCATTACAACTGAGCTCTTCATTTCCTTATACAAGTAACATAATCAATTTGATTTATGTGTGCGTTGTCTCTTCAGGGTGAAGTATTTGGAAGATGTGAACTCTTCCTTTCTATGTACATTGATAACAAACTATGGCTGGAAAAGGTTGGAAAATAATTACATTCATCTCAAGGCATAAACTCTACAATTAAGACATGTACAAACCTGCAGAGTAAAATAAGTCCCATTTTTAAAAGTACTACAAGAAACACAACAAAAGTATGTTATGACATATATTTGTATAAATAAGCATGCATGTGAAGAGAATAAAAGAGTTGGAAGGGACCTTGGAGGTCTTCTAGTCCAACCCCCTGCTTAGACAGGAAACCCTACACCATTTCAGTCAAATGGTTGTCCAATCTCTTCCAGTGTTGGAGCATTTACAACTTCTGGAGGCAAGTTGTTCCACTGATTAATTGTTCTAACTGTCAGGAAATTTCTCCTTAGTTCTAGGTTGCTTCTCTCCTTGATTAATTCCCACCCATTGCTTCTTGTCCTGCCTTTGGTGCTTTGGAGAGTAGCTTGAACCCCTCTTCTTTGTGGCAGCCCCTCCAGTATTCCAAATACTGGAATACTGATATCATGTCACTGCTAGTCCTTCTTTTCCCTAGACTGGCCATACCCAATTCCTGCAACTGTTCTTCATATGTTTTTGTCCCCAGGCCTTTAATCATCTTAGTTGCTCTTCTTTGCATTTTTTGCGAAGCCTCAACATCATTTTTGTAATGTGGTTACCAAAATTGGATGCAATATTCCAGGTGTGTGGTCTTATTAAAGAGTTACAAATCAATACTAATACTTCATGTGATGTATTAGCATTGTAGTATCTTTTTTGACTGCTGCTGTATACTGCTGGCTCATATTTAAATGATTGTCCACTTGGGCTCTAAGGTCCCTCTCACAATTACTGTTTTTGGCCAGGTTTCACCAATTTGTACTTGTACCTTTGATTTTTTCCTACCCAGGTGTAAAATTTTGCTTTTCTCCACATTAAATTTCATGTTGCTGTATAGGGTCCATCGTTCAAGTCTGTCAAGATCTTTTTGGATTCTAAGTGTGTCTTCGGGATGTTGGCTGTTCCTGTTAGCTTAGTGTCATCTCCAAATTTGATAAGTTCCCCTTCTATTCCCTCATCTACAGTAAGTCATTTATGAAGATATTGAATAATACTGGGACTAAGACAGAACCATGTGGTACCCCACTGCTTACTTCCCTCCATGTAGACGTAGTGCCATTAAGGCCTACTTGTTGAGTACGGTTTGTCAGCCAGTTGCAAATCCAACTAGTGGTGATGCTGTCTAGCCCACATTTTTCTAATTTACCAAGAAATAGACCGTAGTCTACTTTGTTGAATGCCTTTGTGATGATTTGGGGCAAGACATAGAGGCAACAGAGCCAGCTGATAGTTCAAACTCCCCTTTATTGCCCCAACTTTCTCCCAAACACTCCCACTTTTATGGCAAGTCCCAGAACAAAGTGCTCTCACACACCTCCAGCAGCCTCTGGCTGCGAGTAGTCCAGCAAATGCCGTCAGCACAATTACTTCAACACAAGGAGGCTGACAAGGCAAAGGGGACAAGGCAGCAACAAGGCAAGGAGACCAGCAAATTCCAGACGTTGGCACAGGCCCACGAAACTCCAGGAATTCAATGCTTGTTCCCGACAAGCGCCCCTCCCCATGTCGTCTCCTTAAGTCTCATTCCCCAGGTGTGTCCTGCATTGCTCCCTCTTCCTCTCCACTCTCTGTGCTTGGGGATCAGGAGGGGACAGTCTTTGTTCATTGCCTGAACTTTGTTGCTCTTCTTCTCCACTTTCTGCCCTCTCTTACCCCTTCTCTTGGTCATCCTATCCTGTTTTCCCCTGCTTGCAAGCCATCCCAGGACATGAGGGACCTGGGGCTGCCTTGTCCTGCTCCTCCCTGCATTCCTCCAGAGGCAACAAAGCCTCACGCTCAACTTCCCTCAGCCCCAGTTCCAGCTCGTTCTCCTCTGCAGACTCAGCTCCACAGGGCCATGACAAGCCTTGCTGAAAGCTGGGAAGTGGGATAACCTACATTTCAAAATGGAGCTCTCGTGATTGGAGCTCTCAAAGATTGTCATTGATAAATTTTCCTGAGCCCTTTTCCCCTGGAATTTGAGCACCAAGAAGACCCATGAATTGATGGATTTCAAAGACCAGTCGTTATGCAGGGTGCCAAGATGTCTGACCACATATGTGGCATTTATTACTTTTATACCATTTTTACAAGCAAGGAAGAGTAACATAGATACAGTATTTGGATTGGAGAATAGATACTGCATGAGTGAAACCTCCCAACCACATTGGTACAACCTCCCAACCAATCCTTAAGACTAGTGGTGATGTTAGTAAATGAGATCACCTATATGTCTGGAAAGTCTGGGATTTTCCACCTTCACCAAGATATAGGGAATGAGATCATGCAAGTAACCAAGAAGCCTGATATAGGTTTTAAACACTGCAGTTTGCTACTAGCATCTAGCACCATCTATAGGATCTCAGTGGCCACTGCACACAGCACTCCACACAGGGATCTTTGTAGTCTCAACTAGATGAGAGCCTTTGAACCTACAAGCCAAATTTTAGCACCCTCGGGTAAGGAATTTCCAAATACAGCTTTCCGTGGAGGGAGTGGAGGAGACGCATGATGTGCTGAGAGTCCTTGTTGTCTCAGCAGCACAGTAATGAGGTATCCTTGTGAGAGGTCATTTTTGAAGAGAAGTAGAAGGTAGGCTGGAAATAGTTGCTTATGGGTGGCAATACCAGGAACGTGGAGTCACTAGCTCCCAGAAGGTCTTCTGAGGAAAGAAAACAATGACTATGTCAAGAGAGACAGAATAGCTGGAAGGGAAAGTGCCATAAGACAAAAAGATACAAGAATTCCAGCTAATCACATGCTTAGATCTGGGTCAGCAAGATCAGCCATATATATGTTCCAACATAATCAGGAGCCCATCAGCACAATAACATTCCCAGAGTTTCAGCAATGTTGAAGGCAGCACTGGAGAGACTTTGAATTGCAGGCCTAGCCTATTCCGGAAAACAGGATCTGGCTCTGGCAGTTTTGCTTCTCAGGCCCCTCAGCTCAGGCCTCTCAACCCAAGGGAGCCCAGACGTGAAGGATGTTGCTTGTCAAAGGCTCTTTGACCCAGAATTTTCAATACTGGATGTCGCAGAGCACCTTTTGCAGTTACTGATATGAGGAGAATGAAGAAAGGTTTGCTTTAACTCCCTCAGGTGAGAATCTCCGACTATACTGTAAAGCAGGATCTTGCTATAAAGCGTTAACAGAACCCGGTGTCCCCAAAAAGTGCTGGATTCCCAATCAGAGCCAACATACATGGTTGGCAACACGTTGGGCATATCTGCTGTTCTCAGTGGATTTTTGATTAGGCCTTTTTTCCTGTTCAGGTCTCCATAAAATGGAAATAAGTGGAGTGAAAATAAAACAATAAGAACTTTGCATCATTCATGTATCAATAACAGGTGCTTTTTTCACACATTGAAATGCCCCAAAATACACCTATAATGTGAAATATTTTTTTTCTTTATTTTTATTGATTGGAGCATTTTAATGTTTTAGAACCGAAAAGGTGGCTCTAATATTAATAAAAATAAGGAATAATGAAGCAATCTTTAATTAAATGGTTCCAGTTAGATTAGAGGGTTTTTTCCTCCTATTTTATCACTCTCTTTATATCTGAAAGCAACAAAAGTTGAAACCAAGAGGGAACCCAAGACTTACTCTAACTCCACAAGGTAAACTGTCTACTCACCTCCTTGAGTGGACAGTGGACATGTGCAAACCATTCTTGGCAGTATAAGGATAAAAAGATCCCTAGGCCCAAAGGGAGGCATATCCATATGATGGTGTTCCAGACAGGGCCTTTTCTCTTATCATTGAAAACGAAGTTGAAGAACACTATGAAGACAAACAGAAAAAGGGTTAATTGTGTATATTCCAGCCACACTGAGCCAAGGAGACCTCTCAGTTATTGATTTCTAATAACTGTTATCTACAGTAGAACATTCCCCATTACAAAATCTAAAATAGCAATTTCCATGTTTTTTTAATTAAATGTTTTTTTAATTAATTTTAATTAAAATTACAAATTTTATTGATTACAATATTTACAAACATTGAATGTGATGGACTTCTTTGACATAAATTTTTGCCCTTACATCTCATACAAAATCTTATATACATTTATATATATATTAGGCCTTTATACAATTTAAACCCTTTCAGTTTCATATCAGTTAAATCATTAATTTTGCAAACTCCCTTTCAGTTCCCTTCAATAATAAAATTTATTCCATATCCTATAGTAATCAGATTCATCCTCATCTTTCATTTCCAAGGTCAACCTATTCATTTCGGTGCAGGTCAAGATCTTATCTATCACCTCGTCTTTGCTAGGTATTTCTCTAGCTTTCCATTTCTGGGCAAACACAATTCTTGCTGCCATGATAACATGGATTATTAAATATATATCATCTTTACTATACTGTGCTGACATGATTCCCAATAAAAAAGTCTCTGGTTTATAATTTATTTTTGTCTCCGTCATTTTCTCTAGCCATTTCCAGATCTTAAGCCAAAACTCCTGAGCCTTTTTGCAAGACCACCATGCATGATAGTACGTGTCCCATATTTACTGACATTTCCAACATTTAGATGACTGGTTTTTATACATTCTGGCCAATCTTGCAGGTGGTAGATGCCACCGATAGAAGATCTTATACACGTTTTCCTTGTATTACATGGCTAGCATTATTTTTTTGTTCTGCTCCCATAATAATTGCCATTGGTCCAGACAGTGGTGGGATTCAAATAATTTAACAACCGGCTCTCCCGAAGTGGTGCGAACTGGCTGAATCCCACCACTAGGTCCAGATTTATATTGTAACTGAAATCCTTAGCCCAGGTCACCATCATTTCTTTAACCTGTTCTTCATGCATTTTATAATCCAGTAAGTATGTATAAATTCTCCTTATTTGTTTGTCTTCTGGCCCTAACAGAATTTTATCCAATACCGAATCATGCATATTAATTCTCCTTAGAGCTGCTCAGAGCATCCAGAAGTTGGTGATGCTTCAGTCTCTGCTGTTGTAGGTTGAGCTTAATTTTGAGGAACATTCCTCCCTCCATCACGTGGCTCCAGCGTAGCGTTCCCCAGTTTATGCTCAGCCTCGTGCGAGACTAGGCAGAGATTCGAAGTTCTCCTTGGCCGTTGCAAGAAATCCTTAGTTTGATTCATTCCTTTGCTCCTCTCAGATTGTACATTTTTTCCTTAATCCACTTAGCCCTGCGCATTTGGTCCAGACTGCCTTTTTCCTCTGGGAAGCGTTTTTTTCTCGCCCCAGTGGGTGGCAAAAGGGAGGGCTAGCAGTGTCCCTGTGCTACCTCCCATACCCTCTTCAGTTGCTTAAGCCCTGACGTTTTTTCCCTTTTTTCTGATTACTTCTAGCGACTTGTTTTAATCCGTTTCGATTCGTTCCGTTCTCCCCCCCCCCACCGAACACCGTTTTTCTATCCGGAAGAGTTTGTTTACTCTCACTTTCCTGTCCTCTTCTGTTGCAGACCTTGCATTGTCCCTGGGGAGGTTCTTCTGCTGCTGAGAGGCCCCGTAGTCCACATCGCAGGCGGCCACCATTTTAAGTGCCACCTTGTGGTCAGGCACCCTTTTTGTTTTTTTGTTTCCCTCGTTCCGATTGCTGCGATGTGATTCCAGCCCAGCAGCAGAACCCGTAGGCCTGCTCAGAGCTGAATTTGCTTCTTGTTCCAGTTTTTCGCTTGGAGGTTTATTTCATAATTTGACTTGTTGGCTTCCCGCAGCCTATCTCAGCTGACGCAGCAATAAAAAAGAGCAGCACCACTTCCACCCAGTTCCACCTGGGAAGGCAGTTGGTTTAGGCCTAACTTTCCCTCCAGGCCTCCGGCGTCCATTGGTCCATTGGACCCATTTTTTTTCTCTATACATTTAATTTTTTTTAAAAAAAAAAGAGAGAGAAAGAGGAAATAATATTATAGCAATAATGCAGCAGAAGTGGGGGGGGGGGCGTGAAAGAATTTTTCCAGGGCTCCCGGCCTTGTTGTAGGTCGACCCCTAGGCATGCCAACCCCCCCATTTTGTTTCTTATTTTATTCAATTACCTTTGAAATGGCAGAGGGCACTCCTTCCAGGGGCCCTTCTTTGAAGGCCAAGTCTAAAACCCACCATCTGCGCAGGCAGGCTAAGGATGCCTCCAAAGCCTCACAGAGGGACGCCTTAAGACGCCACAAGGCGCTGGAAAAAGAAATCGATAGACGCACCTGGCAGGCAGGCCCAGTGCCTCCGGTACTACTACCTTCCACTCCCTCTACCTCTACTCAACACCCTCCTTCAGCCCATTCCTCCCTATCCAGGCGCAGCTCACCCTCTCAGGGTCACCAGGCTCCTGGAACACCGGCTGGATGAACACCAGAGGCTACCTTCACACCTACAGCCGCCGGCCTACGCCAGGAGGAACCACTCATACAAGAGATTCTGGAGCAACTGAGATCCTGGATGGAGTTGGCTATCTACCAGGGAATCGCGGAAGGACTCCAACAGATAGTTAGGCCAGGTCTTCACCCGCTGGCCCCTGAATCTGAATCTCATTCCGTAAGATCCCTCCCACTCAGATCGGAACCGCTCCAGGATCAGGTTCCCCTCAAGGAGAGGTTTCCCCTTCAGTAAGGGAGGAGGAGGCAGAAGTGGGATTAGATCTATTGAGGGAGGAGGAGGAGGAGTTTGATTTGGGGTCTTTACAATATAACGAACCCTTTTCCGACATGGATCCATCAGAGGTGGAGATGTCTGAGGATGAGGGTCTCACCCCCAACCAACCCGCCTTTGTAGGGCTATTCAAGCCCCAATTATTCAAATCCCTCCTGTTCAAGGCCAGAAATATCTCGGGGCTAAAGACTCAGACCCTCTCTGATCCCTCTCCTCTTGCCCCGGAAGGTCCAGAGGACTCCATTTTCAAACAGCCAGTAGTGGAAGCCGAAGTCATCCCAACCCCTCCCATCTTCCTTGACCTGGTGTCCAAGCAGTTGGCCTCTTCTGCGTCCCCCCGCCCCATCAGCCCACGATAAGAAGTTTTTCAATCTGGATGCAGAACTTTCCAACTTATTAGGCATTCCGGAGGATGATGAGCCCATCGTAGGTCTGGCCTCTTCCTCCACCCTCAGCGACCCCTTAGAGGCCTTGAGGCCAGATGAGAAGTGGGCCGAGCTGGCCTTACACCATGTTCACCAGTCAGATGCTTGGGCAATCAGATCAGCCACAGCCACCTCCTTCTTTACCAGGTCATCCATTCGCTGACTTCGCCAGCTTAAGCAGCATGTCCCAATTTCCAATGTCCGAGCTCATCAGGACATAGCCAAGATTACGGCCGCAGCTGAGTTCTCAGCCGATGCTACCTTCCACTCTGTCAAGTTTCCCCCCGCTTTGGGTCAGGCCAGCCTCAAGACAGGACCGACTCCTCTGACAGAAGCAGAAGGGACGGTAGCTTCAAAAGGCCCTTTCGAGGCTCTGGTAGCCGGCCCTTCAGCCACTCCAGATAGGCCACATGATCTAATTCCCATTGGCGGGAGCCTTCAGGCCTTCGCCAACCAGTGGGACGTCTCTACTTTGGACGCCTGGATTAGGGACACCATCAGGTTTGGCCTTGCCCTCGAATTTCAATCTGCTCCCCCCAACTTTTTCATGCCATGGCCTCTCTCCAAGAACCACACTAAGCGCAGCCTCATGGACTCAGCCATTCAGCACCTTCTTGATATAAGAGCCATCCAACCCGTCCCTCAGTCTCAACGAGGGCAGGGATTCTATTCCCACCTATTCGTGGTCCCTAAGCACTCGGGGGGATGGAGAGTGATTTTGGACTTAAAGCGGTTTAACTGCTATCTGGTGTATCGCAAGTTCAAGATGCACTTGTTGCAATCCATCCTGCTGGGCGTTAGACAAGGGGACTGGTTGTCTTCTATTGACCTTTCAGATGCATACCTTCACATATCCATCCAACCTTCCCATTACAAATTTCTGTGTTTTTGTTACAATAACCTCCACTTCCAATATGTGGCCCTCCAATACGGTTAGCCTCTGCCCCTAGAACCTTTACCAAGGTTCTGGCCGCACTAGCTGCCCACCTCAGAACCCTCCCTGTGCGCCTCCACTGTTACCTGGATGACATCCTCATCCTATTCCCTTCTAAGGATCAGGGAATGAGGGATACTCAGATTACCCTAGCCACTCTCCAGGAACATGGGTTCCTTATCAATTGGAAGAAAAGCCAATTCTCCCCTTCCACCAGGATAACCCACCTGGGACGGTAATTGACACTCTGAAGGGGAAGGTGTTCCTATCTTCGGAGAGAATCCTCAGCATCCAGAAATCTGTCAGAATCATCAGGCGCCTTAAGAGGGTTTCCCTTCTAGAACTATCTCAATTACTGGGTAAAATGATATCATGTCTTTCCATTATTCCCTGGGCCCGTTTGCACTCCAGATCCCTCCAGTGGTTCCTGCTTCCATTCCAAAGAACCGGATCAAGCAATTCAAGACACAAGGTCAGGGTTCCACCAAGGGTGCTCACGTCCCTCCTTTGGTGGAGCAAATTGTCCATCAACAAGGGCTGCCTCCTCAAGGAGCCCCCAAGACTCACCGTCACCACAGACGCCAGTCTGCCCGGATGGGGTGCTCACCTTCAGTCCCTTACAGCACAGGGCAGATGGTCAGCGACAGAAAAACTGTGCAACATGAACTGGCTGGAGCTTCATGCCATCCACCTGGCCCTCCGCAGCTTCCTTCCCCAGGTACGCGGCCACCACATCCTCATCCTCACAGACAATATCATGGCCAAAGTACACATCAACAAACGGGGGCACTCAATCATTAC